TACACTATAAAACAGGCAGAAAATTCAATGAAGTATCGCTTTGTGAAAGTGCAGGTGCGAGCTCCTCCTGGCCTAGGCAGGCTCCCTGGTCAAGCCCACCTTCTGGTTAACAGCCTCACCCCAGCAATGCCCATTCTTACTCCTTGTCCTCCAGCACCAAAGCCTCAGCTTGAGCTTTTCCAGACGTAGGAGAACTTGTGTCACAGAGAGACACCTCCCTTTGTTGCCCCCTTCCTGCTCTGGGCCCCTCCAGCCAAGAACAAATGGGAGAGAATCAGCATCTTCCTACCAAAGACAGGATTCTCCTCTAAACGTGGGCGAAGGTGAACAGGCTTCATTGGGTGTCTCCTTTAAAGAGTGACGTGCTGTTCCAATAAATGCAGATGAGATGGCATGCCAAGAATAAAGAGTGATGTAGACCCCCTGCATCAATCAGAAGACATTTTAATTCAACATGGAGAAAGGCAGCCCTGAAGTCATCATCCATACTTTAGCATTTTGCTAGTTAAGCATGGATTTTTCTTACCTGCTTGACTGTTTCCATTGGTGGGATCAACTTCTCAAGCTGAGATCCTCCCTTACTGAAAGTTAATTCTCTGTAAGAGGGACCTCTGGAAGTCCTGGGTTGGCAGCTAGCCCTTCTGCTACCTGCAGCTACTCTGAAAAGAGGCAGCTTCTGCAAAAAAGCCTAGCATTTTTCTACAAAATCCATCAGACCCACTGCTTGCCCTGAGGTCAGTGCAAGTGTGGAGCAGGCATACTGATCCTAGATGGTCCAGGAAGGATGGCTGAGCCCGGCAGGGCTGCAGGTCCCAGTGTGCTGTCCTGGAGTGACGCAGGCACTTTGCTACTTACGCCCTCAGCCCCCCTCTTCCAACAGCTGTCCCAGCAGAGGTATCTGAAGGAAGGAGGGTGAAATCTGCACCTCCACAAACTGAACTGCCTAGTGAGAGGTTTGTGTGTAAGCTTCTTTGGTTGCCTTAACCGGGGGGTAGATCCCTTCATCTTCAGGAGCTCTGATGACATTTTAACAGCCCTAGCTGAGAGGGGCAGAAGTAAGATTTGTAGTTCGGTTCTGTGACTCTGTAGTGGAGGTGCTGTCTGACTGTTACTTTGGCTCTTTGAGCCACAGTAAGTGGTTACGTTGACTGTCCCTTGCTCCAGCTTAGCTCCTACAGCTATCCCTGACTGCTTGGACAGAGCGGGTTTCCAATTCCAGTACTTTTTTTTAGTCAGTGACTATTAGTCACCCGATACAGAAAAGAAGAAAGATGCTTGCTTATGCTACAGTAATTGTGGATCTTCCAGGCACGTTCTCCATAGAGGCAGCACAGGGGATCTCTTGTCCTTCACTCTGAAGCAGTCCTTACTGTTGGTAAGCCCGAGAGGTTAGACTGGGGCATCCTGTGCTTAGTTTGCTCCATTACCACCCTGGGCAGCAGCAGCTCCTGGCTTCTTTGGGCAGCGTGACTTCGTCCTCCTTCTTCCCAAACCAGGGTGCCAGTCTGCGTTTTAGCTCGCTGATCCTCACACCACCCCCCCAGCTAGGACATCAACTCTTGCCCATGTATTTCTCTCCCGTGGCCCTGCTCCCTTTCATCAGCCACAACCAACCTTGCCAGCTCCTTCACATCAGCGTCTAAAACCCTGAGACGGGAGCACGGGTTTGGGAGCCGCAGGGCTACAGCAGCCACCGAAGAGGGAGGTTGCCGCTACCCAAAGCAGCACGTTGATGGCAGTGGCACGTGTGACGGCTCTTGCCCCACGGCACGAGTGAAGAGCAGACCCGGGAGCTGCCGCGGCTGCAGACAGCGTTAGGTGGTGCGATGCCGTGCGTGGCAGCGTGCAGGAGCCCTTTGCCGGTAGCAGTTGGGAGGGTGCACAGGCACAGCCTGGACGGACATTACTGTCTTCAGAGAACTTGATCCTGGTCGTGTGAGTACATGCTCACCTGGGATCTGTGTGGACAGCACTTCTTAAAGAATCGCGGTTTCCATAGGGTAAGTAACCACTTTTCATTTTCTTTCCTTAAAGAAATATTTAAAACCCAGGATGACTCTGATTCTACGATTAAGTCCTTTATCAGTTCCACCGTTATGATGACTCTGATGTTTCTAGGACCCATCCTCTGGTTTAAAACTGATTAATTTCAGGAACTGAAGCTAGATTCACTGTTCTGAGTGCAAGGCACAATGACAGATACCGTGTTCTCAATATTGTGTTCTCCATTATTGCTCTCTTATTTTGAAAGAAAACAACCATGAAACTGGTGTTTTCCTTTACTGTGGTTAGACACTCGTAAGAAAAGCAAGAAATGCAAGTTAGGAGGAGGATTATTGGTTGCATTTGTGTAATGTCTTCATTATTATTTTTTTTTTTTTAGTTTAGATATCAAATATTTTGAAACATTTTCAAGTGCACCTATTTTTTCATATTTTTAAAGATGAACTGTGAATTTTGAAAAAAAAGAAAAGCATGTTACTCTTTTTAATATTAAAAACAGGAATAAGTGATTTATCTTAGGGTTTGAGGGCATTTAAAAAATTTTTTTAGTGTTCTTTGACACCTCAGATGGTAGAAATTCAGATATTGTCTAACCTGGAATTATCTGGATGTTTGGATAGTGAGCAACATTAGTGACTCATGGATATTGGAAGATCTGATAAATTTTAAGAATTATAATGTGACAAATTATAGAAGTTGTATTTTGTTACTAGTTCCCAAATGGGTTTTAGGCATGTGCATGTGACAATGTTTTTTGAAGTGTGATGCTTCTCTACTTCATGTGGAGAATAATTTGAGCTTTGTTATTCATTAAAAATCTTTCCTAACTCGTCTAGTTGAGAAGAAAACTTAATAACACTATAACTATAAGCAGTTATGAGAAAAATGGTACATCTTTGTCCGGTATTCTGCCTCAGAGATTTTCTAGCACCAAAAGCTTCTAAGAGAGGTGGCCTAAAAATCAGCACTATCATGGACAACTTCTGTATTATGTGCACAAGAAAAAGTCTTTTATCCAATAGCTGATTTATTGTCACAAAGCATAGGAATTATATTATTTTCTGCTTTCACTTAATCCTGTCAAATGTAGTAGATGTCTTCATTATTCATACAAATTTACCACTTCTTGTGTGTGTGTTGTTAAGCTCTTTGCTTAATAATGGTCTTGTAGAAGTTGAGATCCCAGCTAATTGTAGGCATAGCATTGCCCTCATCTGGATCCACTGCACTGTGATTTTGCTATATTCATAAGGTAATGAACAAGAGTACCTGAATTTCCTCCTACATTCTCTTCATCATTTTACCTACATCTGGTGTTTATCTTGCTTATTTACTCATTCCAGTTGCTTCAGTTTCCCCTGGTACAACAGTCTTTCCATGCCTCTAATGGCTAGAGTGACTTAAGATGCGTGGTGAGAATTGAGTACCATAAGCATTTAAGAGAAAATGTTGAATACTGTTGAGAGGGCATTATATTTTAAATAGAATTGGGGTTTTTTTTTTTGAACAGGACATAATCTGTAAATACCAATAGTGGAGGGACTGGGTCCACGAAGACTTAGTCCATTACCTTTATGCGGCTGTCTTAAATATTGTCTACTTACCGTGAGTTACGCTAGTAGAGACATCTGGATAATGAAGCTCTTCCTTTTTGCTGCAATCGTGGAAGACGTTGAGATAGGCATCACAGAGTAACGAATTTATAGGGGTCTTGCTGGGGGAGGGAGTAAGGAGTCATCAGCTTTTTCTCCCTGAAACAAGGCGATTTGGGGACCTCCTAAAGAGGAGGTGAGGGTTGTGCCCTCTCTCTTGCTCATTAGTTGAAAACAGAGCTTTCACTTTTTCTTTGGGTACTGGAACTGTTTCCACCTCCTGCCTGTGTGTACAAAGCCCCAGACAAACGCTCCTCAGCTGTAAGAGAGCTTCAGTGGGTTGCTCTGAAGCACTTTTGCCTTTAATAGGTGTTCACAGACGCCGGTTTGCTCACGGTTGTGCTTACCAGCAGAGGAGGCTGGGGCTGTGTGAAGCTGAACGCAGTACCAAAAGGAAGAATACTTTACTGGAGTGAATGGGAAGTGAGAAGGGAAAATGCTTTGTGCGGGGGGAAGTGTTACATTACTCTGGGGCTCCTGCCAAATATCTTCAGCTTGCTATGCCACGTGGGGCATGTGCACTGTATAGGGCTTTGCCCTTACGTATCTGGAAGAGTCGGAGGGGATAAACCTCCCTGTTACAATGAGGCACTGAACGTGCTTTCTGCATGTACCTGTGTCATCCAGGAGGCCTTCTAGCAAGATAAGGAAGACATGCTGCAAATTTACAAAAGAATGGTGGCAGGGAAAAGGGAAATATAAGGGAAATTCCAGAAAAGCCCTCTGGATTTTCTCAGGCACACCTAGACTTGCCCTTTATTGGGATTTACCTGTAGCATGTACATCATTAAGAGGCTTTATTATTTTTTTTTAAATTAATTTTATTTTCCTTTGCAGGTCACCTTTTAAGCTGCTATTTCCTGTATAATTAAGCAGAATGAAGGCATTAGGTTCTAGTAAAGTTGGCCCTAATCCAGAAATCTTCTCTTATTCAGTCCTTTCTGAGTAAGAAATTCAAGTCCGGGCCCAGCATTTCATGAGTTTTGCTGTTATTTCTAAGTTATTTCTGGTCTGTGGATTTTTTTGTTTTGGTTTTAACTGTATTGAAAGCTCCTTTTCTCTTGTCTAATTTTATCTCCTTATGTGTTACTGTCCAGCGTAGCATTAGTTGAAATGATGTAAGTATACTGCAGATTGACGTGCATAATTGCTACTGATAATGCAAGAATGATTGGTTCCTACAGTTTATAATTAACAGTACATAATGTTCTGTGCATGGGTTGGTTCTATCCCTTTTAACTTTTCCTTTCCGATTCTTTCCAACCCCCAGTCTTGCCACATCCCAGCCTTTCTGAATATACTGGTTTCGCTGGAGTCTAGTCCATTCTTCCTTTTGTTTTTCAGACCAGTAAAAATGGGAAGTACTGGATTCTGGTTTCCTCCAAGAAGAGTCAGCGGAACTGGTTAAGACCAAAATCTGAGGACTTTAGTGGGCAAACATCAGGTGTGCATTGAACAGAGGCTGCTTTAATCCTTCCTTAAGTATATGCTTCTTTAAAAATAGTATTATATATGAGCTTTTGTGTAATGTGTTTGTTATATTTGATACTGCATATAATCATTCATCCTGCAGTTGTGAAAACACCAGTAAGAATGAGGATTTTAAGTGATAATATGTTGAGACACAAACAGGCAATATTACTCATAAAATTCTTTCAGCTGGTCTTTGGAAAGTGTAATATTTGAGGATCAGTGGTTTTTAAAGTTTTATCTCCATTGCTCAGTCTATATATCCACAAGAAAGAAAGAAAGTGGTTATTTGCATTCAGAGGTCAATACTGAAGTTCTTAATTGCCTCATCTGTTGAGAAATGGTACTGAGATAATAGTGCATACATGTTTTTTAATAAAACACTGTCATTGTCAAAGATTGGATCCACACTTTGTTCTAATGATGCATTTTTGAGGACACTTAAGCACAGTTCAAAGTCAGCTTAATTATTTTTGATCATGGAGGAACAAAACTTGAGTTCTTCATCCGTGTGAATGTTCTGAGTTACTTCTGGTACAGCAACTAGGTTACCTGAAGTTTTGGAGAAGATAACAGTAATGTTATATTGGCCTGAATATAGGATGGCCTCCAGCCTGAGGTGTGATCTTTGCCTTGAGAAAAGGAGTGAGAAGTTGCCGGAGCTGTTAATTTAACAGTTAAGCCTCATACGCTGTTCCACAGCAAACGCTGCTTTTGCCCTCAGATCAGACCCTTCTGCATGCCCTAACATCCTGCATCTCCCCAGCTCGATGCATGCTCAGTTCCTCCCCATGTGCCCCCAGCGTTACCAGCCCACCCCTATCCTCATGGTACTCCCGACTCCTGCTCCCTGTGCCTCCCTGGCCCCACTGCCCCATCCTAGTTCTGTCCGTTGTCCCTCCCCGTGTCCTGCCAGCTATGTCTCGCTCCCCTTGTCACCGGCTGGGCGCAGAGGCCACTTGCTGCCGAGCTCTGGACCCAGCACGGTCAAATTAACCACGCTCCCCCGCAGCAGGCTGTGGAGACAGTTCCCTTGCCCTTTGCCGCGGACGCTGCCTGCCCTGTCTCTCAGGCTAGGTGTGGATTTGGCGGGGAGGTGAAAGGGGTCGTAGCCCTTTCCTACCCCGCTGAGACTGTAGGTGCCCTAGCCATGCAGGGAGGGCCACGGCTACCGCCAAGTCATCTCTGGGTGACGGGTCTCACCTAGGTGCCTATGTGGTATAGATACACCCTGTGTAAGTGGAGATCGGGTTGGATTTTTTTTCTCTACCCAAACTTCATTTGTCAGGAGAGACTATGCTAAAACAAGATTTCGTTCTGTATTCAGGCCAATATGCATAGAAGACCAGTGTGTTCATTTACAGGAAAGCAAAATTAATTTTATTACCAGATTCTGATTAAAGCATACATTGAAAAAAAAAAACTTTCAATCCACAAATATATCACAACTTTGATGTGAATCAGACTCCTTGGAACTGGTCTTCATTTACTTTTATTGCAGAAAATTATTGCTCCCAAGTCTCCAAACAACTGATTCATTTTTTTCACTTATGAACTAGATAGTTGATTATGAGACAGAAAATAAAATTGATCTGAAACTTTGAAGACCTGTGCATGTTCCCACTCATGGAACTGATGTCTCTAGGCTTCATCCCATGAGTGGGAATGAGTCCGAGACTAATCTGAAATCATGAGAGTCCTTAAAGAAGCCCATTTTCTGTGACTGGGTATCTTTGAAGAGGTTAGTAGTTCAATATAAAATTGGGGGGAGTAAAGGTGGTCTTACAAAATTCCCTGCTTAAAGAAGGTAACAAAGTTTAGCCTGCCATTTAAGGACTTTAGGGCTGAAAGGCAGCAGGTTTCCATTTCTCCTCTTGTAAAGACAAGGGAAATGTCATGGGGAGGAGGGAGGAAGAGGCATAGACAAGGACATATTCTGTGTACACGTTCGGCCTGAAGATTTCATAAGACGCAGGCATTTTATGAAAAGGGCGCATCCCTTCTTCCCCTCGCTGCCCCTCCAGCCCTCCAGTCCTGCCATGCGTTGAGAAAAACCCAGGCTCTCCTTCCTCCTCGCTTTCCTCCAGGACCACGCTGGGGCTCCTGCAAGGACTGTTCGCACTTTCCCCCCATCTGCCTCCCGGGTGCCGCTCTCTGCTCCCTTCTGGAGTGGCTGGCTCCCTCCGTCTCTGCGGAGCCTCAGCCGGGCCCGAGGGCGGCTGGGACCAGGCCCCGGGGCCGCTCCCAAGCTTCGCCCCCTCCCCTCGCTGCCAGCGGGGAACGGGCCTCGCTGCCAGGGGGAGGTGGCGTTCGGCTGGAGCAGCTGCGGCCTGGTGCTGCCTGCCCGGCTCCCGCCCGGCCGCCCGGCTCCACCTGTCCCGGCAGCTGCTGTCCACCCCGGCCCCGCTGCTGGGGGCTGTGGGGGCGGCCGGCCGCCGAGCCCCCCCCCGGCCCGGCCGCTGCCCCGGCCTCCCTGCCGCCCGGCCTCCCAGCAGCTGCCCCAGCAGAGGGGCCGGGGTGGACAGCAGCTGTGAGCCACCGCACCGGGAACGGGGTGGCGTGGGGGGGGTGTCGCCGCTTTTGGGGGAGCAAGGCCGAATCTGGGGGGCTTTCCGGCCCTGCCAAGCGCTTGCGCTGAGTGCCGTCCTCCCGTTGTCCTCCTCCTCGCCCCCCGCCGCTACAGAGCTCACTCACCCTCAACCCTTCCCGCAACGGGTAGCAGTGGATTTTGGTGTCTGTAGTAGCAATTGTGCTCCGATGATGAAAAAAAAGCTGTCAGCTACCCCTGACAAAGGAGGGCTGTTGAGAGCCCTGTCGTGGCAGGCGCCCAGTTGCTACTAGACAGTACCAGATGACGAATTTAAAGCTGTTCACCCGCAAGTCACGCACGAGTGTCACGCACCTTCTCTAAACTGGAAGCCTCTGGTTTAGTCCATGATTTGCAATGCCCCGGCAGGACTAAGAGCCCTCCATCCTGAGCTAGTCTAAATCTGAACGTTTACAATCCCTACGTTTTGCAGGGTAGTGTGAGGAGGGTGGGGATCTCTAGCGCTGGGTTGATAAAACCCTAATCTGTCTAATCTACCCCTAATCTGTGGGATTTCTGTTGTTAATATGTCAAGTCTCTGTTAGCAGAGGGCAAATTTACAGAGGGATTTCACCTGGCGTTAGCAATCATTGCACACATTTTACTAGAGTAGATCCATAAATGTGCTGTAGTCACAGCGAGGAGGTACACCCGAGAACATGAGCTTTCCCCCCCCAGACTGTCAGCATGGGTACTGCCACTTTTTGCGCAGGTTTTCAAACATTTTGAGGCTTACAGATTTTTGCTTTGATAACTGTGTGCATGCGTGTATGAGTGTGTGTGTGCGTATGTCTGTGCAAACACCACAGGCGTGGCTTTTAATTCCTTTGAAATCCAAAACTGCCCAAAGCCATCTGGGTAGGTAGGCTCCTTGCCTGATGCCTCCCATAATCTGACAGAAATTTTGCTGTCCTCCATCAGTGCTTGAGGGGAAGGTTGTGAGGTGTGATTTCAGGGCATATGTGGATCTGTTCATCCTGAGCAATGCGTTTTAAGAGTTGCAGCAAATAGTGTAAAGAAACCTGCAGGTATTACATTAGACCAGCTGAACCTAATTTTATTTTTAAGTTTTATTCAGAAGCATCACATAGCAAGTAAACTTCAAAATCTAAGTTTAGTTACAAACTAGTTGTTTCTTATTTTTTTTTTCCAGTCCCCTTTTGCTTTCTTTTACGACCACATGAAACTTGAGAAGCCATCTAAAGCTAAATCATTTAGTGGAGTTGGGCAATTCCCAAGTGTCCAACAAGAAGGCCTGGTTTAGGCTGCGATGGCCACTGTCATTCCTGGTGATTTGTCAGAAGTAAGAGATACCCAGAAAGTCCCTTCAGGGAAACGTAAGCGTGGTGAAACCAAACCAAGAAAAAACTTTCCTTGCCAACTGTGTGACAAGGCCTTTAACAGTGTTGAGAAATTAAAGGTTCACTCATACTCTCACACAGGAGAGAGGCCCTACAAGTGCACACAACAAGACTGCACCAAGGCCTTTGTTTCTAAGTACAAATTACTAAGGTATTAAACTCTATTTATCTTTCAGATTATATTATCTATTTTATGTTGGCCGTGTTAAGCCGTGTAAAAGTATATATTTGTGTACACCTTCAGCTGATTGCAGAGAGGATGTGTTAATTAAAGTAGCTATTGGATTGTTTCTAGAATTCTAAATTACCTAAGTTTGCAAGCTAATGTCTTTGATTTTGTTTCTTAATTTGTTTTCTGCTTTTGTTTTGTGTTTGTTGTTTTTTTGTTTTGTTTTGTTTTTTAAATGAGCGTAGAATTTTCATTTGTATAAGGAATTGTCACAAGGAAAAGAGTATGGACTGAAAATTTTTTGGCTATGGACTTTTACACAAGTACTTTCATACTTGCCCATATACCCCTCTTACAGTAGCTAAAACCCACAAAAACTAAAGTGTTGATTTAAGAGAAATGGCTCACATTTTGCTATATTTAAATTTGTTGAACTGTCTTTGTAGTGTCATGCTTTCAGTTAAAAGGTTCTGTTGCAAAGCAGCCCTTAGTGTAGTATTTAGCTGCCATTAAAAAATGAGCACGTGTGTTTTTTGATCAAAATAATTACTTACAGAATATATCTGTGTTTAAAGGCATATGGCTACTCATTCTCCTGAGAAAACCCACAAGTGTAATTATTGTGAGAAAATGTTTCACCGAAAAGATCACCTAAAGAATCACCTACATACACACAATCCCAACAAAGAGGCCTTTAAGTGTGAAGAATGTGGAAAGAACTACAATACCAAGCTTGGGTTCAAACGTCACCTGGCTTTGCATGCTGCAACAAGTGGTGACCTCACCTGTAAGGTATGTTTGCAGACTTTTGAAAGCACCGGAGTGCTGCTGGAGCACCTAAAAACTCACGCAGGCAAGTCATCGGGTGGAGTGAAGGAGAAAAAACACCAGTGTGAACACTGTGATCGTCGGTTCTACACCCGAAAGGATGTCCGTAGACACATGGTAGTGCACACTGGAAGAAAGGACTTCCTCTGTCAGTACTGTGCACAGAGATTTGGGCGGAAGGATCACCTCACGCGCCACATGAAGAAAAGTCACAACCAAGAACTTTTGAAGGTCAAAACAGAGCCAATGGACCTTCTAGACCCCTTTACCTGCAATGTTTCTGTGCCTATTAAGGATGAGCTGCTTCCAGTGATGTCTTTACCTTCCAGTGAACTGACATCAAAGCCATTTACAAACACTTTGCAATTAAATCTCTACAACACTCAGATTCAGTCCATGCAGAGTTCTGCATCTGCACACCAAATGGTTGCCACATCATTACCATTGGGAATGCCTTGTCCAATAGATATGGAGTCTGTCCACCCTTCTCACCAGCTATCGTTGAAATATCCGCTCGGTACTACCTCATATGCAATTTCTATGCCTGAAAAAGAACAGCCATTGAAAGGGGAAATTGAAAGTTACTTAATGGAGTTGCAAAGTGGTATGCCTTCTTCATCCCAGGATTCTCAAGCATCTTCATCAAAACTAGGGCTGGATCCACAAGTAGGGCCACTAGATGATGGGTCTGGGGAGGTTTCCCTTTCCAAGGGCTCTGTTCCTATTAGCGAACCTCTAAACACCCCGTCATTGGACTTTTCGCAGCTGTTCAACTTCATACCTGTAAATGGCCCTCCCTATAATCCTTCTGTTTCAGTGGGAAACCTCGGAATGAGTTATACGCAAGAGGAGGCACATTCTTCTATGACTCAACTTCCACCACAAACCCAGGATCCACAAGATCCTAGCAATAGTATAGGTCTTGGGTCTCTGCACTCATTGTCAGCAGCGTTCACAAGCAGTCTAAGCACAACCACCACCCTACCACGATTTCATCAAGCTTTCCAATAAGATGTACAAAGCTGGCTTGTTACTGTCTATTTGTAGAAATGCCTTAGGTGACCATTTTTAACTTAGTGCCTACTATAAGACATTATAAATTCTCTGCTTTTGTACAGTACCAATCTCATGAAGCCAGTAAGAAATTTAAATTAACTTTTTAAAATTGTTTTGAAAGTGTTTATTCTCAGCTGTGTTTACTTTGTTGTTTTTTTTTTTTTAAAAAAAACCAGTCTCATTGTATTGTTTTCATTCTCACTGCCAATTGACACATTTAAGATGTTCAGTAGAAAGTCATCCCAATCAAACTCTCAACACTCATCCCTTTTTAAAAAATTCAACCATACCAGCTATTCTCTTTTTTTTATGTCAGTGGTAGAACTGCCACTTTTACCTTTTAATATATTTTACTGTTTGCAAAGAATCCAGTTAAAATAGGTATCAAAAAGATTCCTGAAGATTTGGGAAAAAAATTCTCCAGTCTGTTTCCAAACAAATCCTCTTCCCAAATGGTGACACATCTGATCTGTTCTGTAATGACAAATCTAAATTTTTAAAATAAATATAGAATTCAGATTTTTCTGAAAACTTGTGTGTGTATATATAGAAGTCCATATATACACATGTACATATATATAGCATTTTGACTTGTATTGAAGTCATTATAAAAGGTGTAAAGAATTTGCCATTTTCTGGCTTAAATTTTTGCGGCCTGTTATGGATAGTGGAAGAAAAAAATTTAGTTTAATTCTCTAAAATCATGGCTGAACAGAATTTCAACAGAGAATCTCTGCTTGCCTAAATGACAAATGTTTCAAGTTGAATTTGGAACTGTGTTGTTGTGCTTTCATGACTCTGGTAGAGGGAAACAGGCAAAATTAATGGCTGATCTTGAAATATAAAAGTGTTGTAATGTAGTAATGCAGAATATTTTGTCGCAGTTTTTGTTTTAATTCTTAACTTGCTGTTTTTTTCTCTTTAGTAGCATAGAAAGAGTACTGCATAGGAATCTTCCAGTAGTGTATTCACATTTGTAGGCATCAGTCTTCTCCCAGCTGCCACCGCCAAAGGGTGGATCAAGTCCAGCCAGAAAGTGTGTATCTGTTTTCAGTTCAAAACTAGTGTGCAGTCAGAGAGTGAATGTAAATTTGCAAATACCAGTTTTTTGTTTTGGTTTGGTTTTTTTTTTTTGTTTGTTTTTTTTTTTTTTTTTATTGGAATGATCTTTTCAGTTGTGTTACATGGTGTGTTATGTCCTCCTAAGCAACAAGTTAGATATTAATCACACTTTCTACACCTGGGTACTTGGTTAGGGACTTTTTGCCCATTGCCAAGATTTAAAGACAGGACTCTTAGGAGTGAAGTAAAAGCATATTGCTTACACCACTTTTACCTAATGCAATATATTCTATTCCCCAACCCCTAATAACCAAAAGAGGGAAAAAAAAAAAAAAAAAAAAAAAACAACCAACCCTGTGATGCATGGAAGCAAACTAGATTTGCTGTAATTCAACAATAGCATTGTTTTCCTTGTCATTTTTGTACAAGGAATTAAAAAATAGAAATCAAGTACATTAGTATCTCTCAAACAATAATGAGGGTTCATACAAGGTTTTAAGTGGTTAAACTAAATATACTTCACGGAAACAAAAGTTGCTCCCATTTAAGGAGCTCATGCTCCGGATGTTTTATCAGTAGCTCCTACTTTTTTTTTTTTTTTAATTCTAGGAGCAATATGCAGGTGTAGTTTTACTATTTTATACATATGTGTATTTAAATTTTATTACTGAAAGATAACATTTTTATAAATGTGTTTGTGTTCCAAAGGCATTAAAATAAGGATGTATTAATAAGGAAAATACCTTTTGAAATTCTGCAAACTACTCCTAGATTTTGGGTTTAGGAGCACGTTATCTCAAAGTGGGCTTTTAGCTCTGCTTCATGACTGCTTCCTCTGGTTTCTGTGAAACAGATTGCTCACTTACTTACATCTTTAGTTGAATGATTTGTTCAATATTGCTTTTTATCTCTTCACCTTTCTAAAGGAAAGAAAAATACAGATGAACAGAGCACAAGGTGAAAGCAACTGAATGTAATTCTAGTTTAAATCAGCAACAATAGCGCGCGCGCAGAAAGAATTTGGGCTCATTCTCAATCCTTGCAATTACTCTGAGATGAAGATAAAGGGATTTAACTCCTCCAGTGGGTTATGTCCGGCAGGGAGCCGAGCATCTGCAACTCTCCCTGCAGTGGGGGAACGCTGGGAGCGCTCGGCAGCCCCTGGCACACAACTTTCCAATCCGTAGCAACTGTTTATCCGTCTCAGTTGCCTATTAGGCTCCACCAAAAACACAAAACCCAACAGACAGTTTGCCAACACCCATTTCATAGTGTGTAGCCAGACTCCTTACTACTTTGTTCGTGCCTTAGCTTCCCGTAAAGGGACTGACATTTCACTATGGAGTTAGACGTACATTTCACTTGAGAAATAGGGACCTCAGACAAGATATTGAACCTCATTCAGTCAGGGTTTCAGTGGGTGGCTGCACCCAGTGTGTTTGCCACAGAACTAGGATGTATGGTAGTGTGGAAGCAGACCGACACTGTAAGCAATACCACCACCACCGGAGTGCTTTCGAATATCACTTAGGCAGAGTCGATATTGGCCACTACTAAACCATCAGTTTTTAAACGCCACTTGCTTGATTTCAGATGGATTCTCGGCGGGAGGGGGGGAGGGCTGGCTGATCATGCACCACTCTTTGTGCAACTTCTAAACTTATAGTAAGGTTTTGTTTGTTTTTTTGTTGTTTTTTTTTTTTTTTTAAATATATATATTTTTGTGTACTTGTTGCTTGTGCTTTATTTAGTAGTAAATTGTGGAATAGAGTGATTTATTGTTAATTTGGCAGTAGCGGTTTTTAAAAACCATATACTGACTGAAACATGAGCCAGAGCTGATTGCTTTATTAAGCTAATAATGAATGTTAAGAGTACATATTTTCAGGATCATTTGCCTAGTGAGCTAAACTTGTATTATAGGCCAATATTTTTTAAAATAAAGCTTGGTCAACCTCTATGTTACACATATTACAAGATATAGCACTTTCAAAAAGAAAACCTAAACCTTTTAAGAAAATTTCTTACAGGTTATGCTTTTTATTATAAAACCTTTTATTATAATTTGTTTCAAGTGCCATTAGATTACATATATGTAGGCCTTTGGTATAATGCTTTGTGTACAAAATGGTAGACATTGTAATTTTAAACAGGTACATTTTTACAGTGTTTTCTTATCAATTTGCTATATTGCACAGAACCAGTGTGTCTTTCTTAAGGGTTTTACAATGGTTTTTACTAGGTTTACATGTTTCAAACTACACTGTCTTCTACTGCCATTTTGAATACCAGTCAAAAAAACATTAGGAGTTTGTCCTCACCAATTGCAAACTGTGTCCTCTGGAGTTCTGGATGGTAAACGATGGCAAAAATGTTTAACATGCAGTATTTGATGCAGATTTTTTTTTTTTTTTATCATACCCTATCATCGCTATGCTGCTGTCTGAAGTTAACTTAGGGCCGGATCCTGCATCCGTAAAGGTCGAGGGGAGCGGGATTGTCATCCTTTGTTATGTCTGTCTCATACACTGGTTTAGCAGCTCATCCTGTATTCTTCTCAGTCTATGGATAAGCCTCTGAAATAAGTGTACTTATCTGGTATGTAGTAAATTGTATAGGCTTAGCTGTCCATCCTGCATCCTCCCAGTGTACGGTTAACACCGCAGCCTACTTAGCATCACGCTCAACACACAAAGAACACCGCAGCAGTGCAAAGTGTGTTTGGATAGTCCCAAAGCTTTTATGCAATAAGGGTGTCTTACTTTTGTTGGAAGGCAGTGTCTTTTGATAACAGTTATCTAGCCCTGGAAGTGACACAGAACTATTGCTAATCATATGTAAACACTTTTCAGTATAAGCTTCAGTGGTACAGTTGAACCAGAGTGAATGTTTATCTCCTCAGAAACACTCCTGCAATATTGTTATATTGGATCATGCTGCTAATGTAACTTGGGATACAACTCCTCTCATGGTGCTACAAACCTCCCTGTCTCATTCAGATGTATTTTTACCCATAGAAAAAAGGACTATACTAGACCTATAGTTGTATGATATATTTTTATACTGTGACTTAATTTGTCATTAATGAACTTTTGTGCAACACCACAATGTATTCATATGCACTTGCAAAAGTAAAATTTTGGACATGCAAATTTAAACACTGACAAGCCCAGCTCTTGTTCACAAAAATAGGTGACTGCTAGTTAAAATTAAATGTGGGCTTTTTATAAGGTGTGGAGTGAAGAACATACTATATATTACCAAAAGCCTTTGAGTTTAGACAAAAACTGGGAAGAGTATATTGGGGAACGGTGACACACCCAAACCTGAGTCGGATTGCTGAAATTATATTTTTAGCTAGTGGAAAAATTGTTTGGACTTCTATGCTAAAATGTTTTTAAGATAAAAGTTTTTGAGTCAAAAATAGAGAAAAAAAAAGAACACAGAAACCCTGCATTCCAGACTGAATTTGTATATGTTTCTTGCATTTAAAATTTGCTATCCTGTGATATGGGAAATTGAGTTGCTTATCATGTATATGTACTTTAAAATGTATTCACAAACTACTGTTGTATTTGTATAAAATATAGACAAAAAGATTGCATATATATTTTTGTGTATAAGCTCTGTAAAATAGCAATCACATTATGAAGCTGCAGCAGAACTTCATTTTAAACATTCACATCCAAAGAAACAGACTATTTATTGTCCACATACCCTGATTATAAAATATACCTTGCTGCTATTAAACAATAGTGCTGCAGCTTCTTGTGGCCTACAGTGTTATGTTTGCTGTACAAAAATATGTGAACTCCACAAAATATATCAATAAAATTACAGAATGGTTTTAGTTAATGAATAACTTATGCCTGGCATTTCAATAGATAATCTTGATCTGCATGTTTGGGATTACAAAAAGTTATTACAGAATACATCCAGTGTTGCTGGGTGTAGTTATTCAGAGTTTGCAGAGGTATAACCGTCTTTCTAATTTATGACTGGTAAAATATCAGTTTTTCAGAAAAACTTAAAGCATAAGTATCTGCGTTTCGTGATTTCACCAAGGAACAATTTGGATGATGCTACTGTGTACGTGACAAGGCCGATCTGAACTGAAGGAAGCAACTGGGTTTGCCATCAAATTGCACTTGAAAAGCTGTGAGACGCTGGAAGGTGAGTTTGGGGTTTCCATAGTGGGACTGCTTGTTCGGGAGACGTAGGTGAGTGATCCTCCCTCGTTTCAGATTAATGCAAGTCAGTCACATCGATTGTTAGAGTTTGCAGGATAAATTGTAAGGGCGTGGCATGCGCCAGGCACAGTGTGTGGGTTGTCTCTCAGACATTTCCAGGAGAAACTCTTGCTTTGCTCCTGTAGATCTTTTGTCAGCCCGTGACACTGCTGCTGAGGTGTGACTGCAATGCCGGGGGGAGAGGTGCTTCGCAGCCGGGCGAGCAGCCTGCTCACAACTGCAGAAAGTTGTGTCTCTGCTCGTTCCACACATTGTTCCCTAGCATAGACTGTCTGCCAGGAAAGTAAAAGACTAGTATTTCACGTTTCATTGCTTTTTGGAACGTATTTTATTAACATCTTCAGCATTGTCTGTGTTTTCCTGCTTTGGGTTCCTCTCTTTTCCAAGTCTTGATTTTTTAGATTTCTTGCTGTAACCCAGTCTGAGAGAAATCATTGTTACAAAGAGTTGTTGGCTTTTGCCTTCTCTGTACGCAGACGTTTTTCCTTCCTTGTGATGCCTGCCCCTTTCCTCTGAGCTGACTTACCACTTCTGTGTCACAGGTTTCTAACTTCCTTGAGAGAGTTGGCCTTGTTATATCGAGAGTCAAAAGCTCTACAGGTGCTCTACGGTATGAAATACTCTGCAAAACCACGTATTCCCCCACCCACCCTGAGAGAAAACCGCCCCGCTGGCCTCACCCACTGTTCCTGAATTAACATGTCCTCCCTCCAGACGGACACCCTCTAGAAACTCCGTCAGCCTCTGCAATAAGTGGAATGTGACTGCGTGGATGATATCTGTGTTCTATCCAGAGAAGTCTTGCTGCACTCCCTCCAGAGCTTTCCTTTTAAATTGAGAGCCACAGGCATCTTCCCTTCTCTCTCTCCTGTAACCAATCCTTTCCAAAACTTGCGTAAGGAAGTACAGCAAAATGGTCTTTCAGTATCCCCTATATCTGATCTCGCTGTCCTCCAGGAATGGAAGAGAAAGACTATTCTGGTTTCCCCCTTCATTCTCCTTCTTTTCCTTCCCACATATAAGCATACCCTAGGATAAAGAATGGGTTTTTCACAGAGAAATCCAAAACTGGGATGCAGAGGTGCTGCTGGGCTAGCAAGAACTGAGCAGCTACATGCTGTTGGCTTCCTCACTTTGCAAATCAAAACACTGTATTAAATCAGACAGAAATTAAGTTTTCCAAAGTGGCAGTTGCCGTAGGTGGCACAGCAAGGGTTCGTGATCACAAACAGGCAGCAAGGTGGACAGCAAGACAAGCGCTGTTACAAAATTTAGTCTGTGCTTAAGTTTCAGGAGGGTATTGGAGGTTTAACTGCTGCTTATCACTATGAGCTGGGGCCTTTGGCAAATCAACATCGGCGCTGTGTTTCTGTGTTTCGAACAACAGTGGGGGTAGTGGTGTTGAAAATGATGGGCCCCAGCAGTGGCATGAAGTTTCAAGGTCCTGCTCACATGCTATATCCCAGGTAATTCAGTATAAACTTTCTCTACTCCTAATAAAGGTGTAACACCTTACCCAGTATTTTTATTTTGATGTAATTGTATTTGTTTCTTGTAATGCACTGTGTGTCCTCAAGAAGCGAACATTTTCAGAGAAACAGGTATTTTTTAAAATACAATTAACAGTTCTTCAATGTCATCTTCTCCTTTGGGGACATTTGTGTCATAAAATCGGCAGCTACAAAGCTGGTTTGCCTCAGAGGGGTCTGAAGGGACACCAGCTGTCAGCTGAGTGCTCTGAAAACGGGGCTGCAGTGATGCACGCTGTGGCTGAGCTGGAAATCATTTGAACTGGTCCTTGATAGTTTGCCCATGGCACTGATTTTTCACTGTTATACTGAACTGCAGTGTACGAAGAAGAAGAATGGTGTAGTGTCATTTTCATAGAAATCAATCCGATCTCTGCATGATGTGTGTAAAATATCCGCGCAGAGACCCAGAATAGTCACAGTTGCTGAAAATCAGTATATTCCTTCAACTTTTGTATATGCATGTGTGTGTGTGTATATATGTATGTATGTACATGTAGATATGGATGTGTAGGTGTATGCATGCATGGGAGGTGCGTGGGAGGGTGGCAGTCAAACCTGAAAAAGTTGAGAAATTTGTTTTATTTTGTTTTGGCTTACTTCAAAAAGTTTAAAGTGTTTGTGTTTTACAAGTCCAAAATTAATCATGCAGTTTGTAAAGGTATCTCCAAGTTAACACAGCATGTGGTTTCCCAAGCAAGTTGGAAGAGTTTCTTCCAAATACTTGATTAATCTAAGAGAGACAGCAATTTATCTTAGGGGCGCACAGACTCCGGCGGGGAAGGTGTTTGTCAGCTATCCTTGTGTGGTAGTAGATACACTTTCAGCAGAAAAGTGCTGCAGGCTGTGCCTCTGAAACTAAGCTCAACTCTGGCTTACTGCTTTTGTGTTAAATTGTTACACACGGTCACGGTAAATCCTTACGTTCCCTCACAAGTACTTGAAAATGAAAATAAAATACAGGTTCTCTATGGTTAAGGGGAATGCCATAAATGAACAATGTCTGAGCCTTAACATAAGAATATCAAATATCAAACAATGACAAATAAATTCAGGCTAAACTCCCAAACTCACTGAAGTCTGTCCTCACCTGAAAGTTGTCTCCTTTTATTTTGTCAGTGTCTGGTTCCTTATGCCAATAAATTATTACAGGATTGCCCCATAGTTTATGTGTTCTGTTCAGTTTAGGCATGTTTTTATTCAGCAGTATTTTTACAAGAAGCTTCTGCTTATTCACTGATGCAAACCTTGTAACAACACACTTGAACTGCATGACCCATTGTAATCAGGCAGGTTTCAAATCCGGTAGTTTAGGGCAACCTGTGATAATTTTTAAGGGCCCACCGGAATGCCCAGGCCATCATTTCAGAGCCACCAAATCTAGCTGATCCACTTGCCTCCTCCCCTCTGCAGCTCTCTGAAGATGTGGTGTTTGCAGGCAGCCACCGCATTTGCCATGGTAGGGAGTCACAGAGCTGGGCATGCTCTGTGTTCGTGAAATGGCACGAGCTGCTGGGAGAGGCTGACACTTTTTATCATTCCGTCCTAGGCATCAGCATTAAATCTATGTCCCTGGGAAAGTGGCTGTCTCCGAGCAGTAGAACAGCACTAACGTTACTCCCGGGGCCTTTTGCTGTAGGCAATTCATTTTTCTCATTAGGCATTGAAGCTATTTTCTAGTCCTTAAGCTACAAGTCTCAAATTCCACCATTATTTCTTGTCATCTCTCTGTGACCCAGCAAAGTCAGCTTTGCTCCAGGGGCAAGACTGCAAAATTCATCTTGGGTGTTTTGGCTGAAAATAGCATATAAGGTGCCTGCCATATGACAGCAGTAAACCTGCCAGGGATAAGTACCCGCCTTTGCATGGCCAGAAAGTATTGCTGTGGGTGAGAGCCTGTATTTCACATTTTATTATCTTTATCCCTAGGTTTAGATTCTTTTAGCTTGTCTCAAGGTGCTCTTTTGCAACTGTGATATTAATCTACAGCGGCAGGTCCCAGATTGTTATTCCTGGTCTGCGGTGGTCACTGAGGCCCCAGTAAATTGACTGTGAAGCCTCACCTGCCTTACCAGTACCTCCAGTTAAAACCTCCGTGCGTTCAGGTGAGGAGAGCTTTTGCCTCATGCTCTTGAACACGTGGAGCAACCTTACTGGTAAGGAAACAAGCATCAAACAGCTGTTTGGCAGTGTGTGTTGGAAACCTGCTCTTATTATTTATAAACTAGGGTTTAACCTTTTCAAATGTTTATTGTTATTATGTGTCTCAGCAGTAAAATAGCATCACAATTCTTGCAGATGTATTTGTTCTTTGCATTTGAGCTTACTTCTGACTACTTTAACGAAGACTTGCTTGTATTTGCTATTCCAAGGTGTCATTTGTCTCACCAAAACAACCAAACTCTGAAACATGAACTGGATTCTTTTCTGGCTTGTGCTGGTAGTTAAAAAAAAAAAAAAAAAATGGTTAATCAGTGGCCTATATTCAGAGCTAGCCTCTGTATGGACTAGCTTCAAATAATGGTATCGCTCACACCTGTGCAGTTGATCATATCAGAACTGCTTTCAGGCAACTCTGAATATCGTTTGAGGTCTATGAGCTGTGACTGGAAGTAACATTTGGGCTGTGAAACACTATATGCGTAAGGAAGAATGTAGGTTCATCATCAAATCCTAAACTAAGATCACAGGGCCTGACAGTAAATGGAGAAAAAAGAAAACTTTGATTTGAAACTGGGAAGAAAACCTGTCAGAAATCACTAAGGCACAGCCTAAGGAACTTTGTTGTTTTGAGAGCAGGACTGTAATTTAAGTACTTAAGAGATAAATTTGACTCCTTTAGCAAGATTATCAAGTAATTTAGTAGAAACACAATGCTACCTCTATACTGTAAAGCAGTTCTTAGAGGCCACTGGACAGCCAAGCCTTCAAGGGTTTGTTACATGGTACACCAGCCAAATATACAAAGAAATAAAATAATGATTGTGGAGAATAATATAACTACACACTCTTAAACTTGCTGAAAGCAATTTTGATCCCTGGGTCTGTCCTCCTCCTGTTTTAGACAAAACTTCGGCTGTTAAGAACCACAACAGTGATGCACCTTGATTGAAATGAAGCTGGTGTTTAACACGTGTCCTCTGTTGTGGTGCACTACACCCGTATGAGTCTTTTAAGGCCCTTGGTATCGGGCTGACTTCTGTCCAGCAACTCAACAAACAGTAGTAGTAACGAGCAGTAATGGCAAACAAAGAGTTCCTCTATTCCTGATATACAAATGAAATATAAATGGGGGTGAACCGAGCGAGACTGATTCTGTCTTCCTTCTCAGCTGGAAGCACAGATTAGGTCGGGCAGCTGTTGCAGCATCAGATCCACAGGCACGTTTCACTTGCAGAAATACGGCACACAAGCTTGGAACAAAACCATCGCTGCCACAGGTTATGGTAGCTGTGACGTATTGCAGCCCCCCGGGGTACGGACTGTGCCTTTCCCTCTTGTCACTTGTAAAAGTTCCTGTTGCACTCGCTGCTGCTGACTTCTGGTTCACCCAGCTTCCTTCTTCCGTGTAGAAAGAGCAGCGAAGTGGGAACAGTGTTGGTCGCAGGCTGTGATGCTGTGGGCTCCCCTGGGGAAGGGCGGCTAGGAGGGAAGGGGCAGCTTGTCCCCAGCACCCCTGCTCCCCCAAAAATGGCTCCCCAGGCACTGCTCTGGCCCCCTCCTCCAGCCTGTGGTGATGCTGGAGCTAAAGAGGGCCGTGGAGTGTGGCAAGGGCATCCTCCAGCCGTCCTGTCTCGTGGGAAGGCACTGGGCCGAGTCATGAATAGATTACAGGAAAACAGTGCTTATTAAGAATAAAAGCCTGCTTACTCTTAAATCTGCTTTAACTGCGTTCACAGCAAAAGACCCTGGATGTCCCCCTGCTCCAGCACTCAGCTTGAGACAGGACAGTAAGTTACGTCAAGGTTGCTTAGATCCCAAAAGAAGCCACTCTTCCTGTTCAAAAATTCAGTGTATTCCCCAAGAACAATACAACATGCCTGCTACAACAGAGGCGAGCCAGAAAGGTTTATAGCAGAAAAAGGTAACAGGAAAATTACCAAAAAAGGGACAACTGGAAGGAGTGGGGGGAGACATGGGGTTTGAAAAAAATAGTATGGAAGGTGTGCTGTATCCTTCTAAAGGAGACTTCAACCGAAGATCTTTGGGAACAGCCCTAACCCTCTGTTTTATGAGCATAGATTTTACTGCTGTGTTCTGTAGCATTTGCAACCTCCAGATATGCTCCTAGAGCTGTCAGATTAACAAATCCACTCTCAGGCCCTTCATCCATGTATCCTTCCACCTACTCCTCTCTCTCAACCAACTTTCCCTTTGAACGTTCTCTGCCACCTGGTGTTAACAGGTTGCAACAAGTGCACTTCTCCCATGGGAAGGCTGAAGTTCTTGGAGAATTCCTGGCAGAGATGTCCCTCTGTTACTTTTATATACTATATGGCACAGAAGTCCATGCAAGAATTAGAGCCCTAATAGTACTCAGAAAATAGGCATTAAAAAATCCTTTCTCTTCCCAGTATAGCTTCATCTGCTTAGTGCAGCTTTTCTTTTCCGTCACAACTCACCTGCCTAGAAAACATTCTCTGCAAAGGTCAGAAACAAAGACTTCTGCATACAAGCATAAAATCACAGTGCCCCTCAGAAAAGGAGTGGAAAATACCTGTTGTCTCCATGGCTTACCTCACTGCATAGTCAAAGCTACACTAAAGCTCCTTTGGTCTTCCCCCCCCACCTGCCAAATCATCCCTGCACAACTGATGCTGAGCAGTGCCCCCAAGCCCGGTAGCTGCCCCTAGGACCAGGCAGCAGCAGGGTATTACCTGCAACAAAAAGCTTGGGGCGTGTGGCAGCACAAGAGCAGTCCAGGGGCCTCTTGCAGAGCAGAGTCGCTGCTGGGAGCGACAAGGAAAGCGGAGCCTCGTGTCGTCAGGCAGCCCCATCTGCAGGGACAGTCCCACCCAGGGCTCCTCCAGCATCCCTAACTCCTTGCATTCTCAGTTGTTAGCAAGCGAGAGCTAATTGCTATTATCCTATAATGCATATTAGCACCTATTTATCTAGTTCTTCCCTGGCCCATCTGTTTCACACTGGCAGGTGATAACCTAAATTCCCCATTCTCATTCATCTCTGGCCCAAGTTTGCTTGCCTGTGAATTGTCAAAATGAATTTCTTCCCATAGTCCTAAGTCTCAGAATGGGGAAGATCTCCATCACTGATTTGCTACAGAGTGATGCCCTTGAAACCCTCTGGCTGAGCTGAGCTACAGTTAAGCAGGGTCAGAAGTCTTTGGCATATTAGGTTAGTCTGTTGAGGTGAACAACCGAACACTTCTCAATTGGGGAAACACTCCAGTTCTGCTTGTACATGTCCTGAGCACCCCTGAAACCTCCCTCGGCGCACCTGTACTGCGTATTACTCATCCTGAGAAGCAAAACTAAAAGAACAGAAAACACCAGGAAAACTCTGCAGGAACTGCCTGCAGAGTCAGTACTCCCCAGAGGTAAACCCCAGAGAAACAGGCAACGTGAATCTTTGAAGTTCCGTGGCAGGATCAGTACTGATAAAGCTGACATCCAGAGGAAGGTTCTGAAGGGCAAGGAGGTGGGAATTGGGGACCAAGCTTTCCAAGATGTTTGCAACAGCTACAGAAAGATACTTACTGGAATATTCGAAAGCGCTTTGCTGTATAGGTCCCATATGGGTGCTCTGATGCCTGGGCAGTACAGCAGGTACCAAGCACTAAGGCAGTTAGCACGAGCACTGTGAAAATGTGAAAGTAGGGTCAAAAGAGCAAAAGCCCCTCTGAAAAAACACTGGGACCAGCAAGGCAAAATTATGTTGGTTTGATTTCTGTCAGAACAGCTCCGTAAATTTAGCAATAAGTTTACTAAAGAGGATCCAGAAATAAAATATACACCTGCAGTAACCACGTGGGGTGCAATGGGAAGATGAGCAAATATTTGGGTGTAATTCTAGTTACTATATCTAATGGATGATACAGAGCAATCATTTGTCTTTATGCTGCTATTAAGGTTGCTGTCCTGCAAGGGCAGAGTTGAGCAGTCAAACCAGTCCCCTTGTCCCAGTTATGTTTAGGTGGCAGGTTTCTGCAAACACACTTTTATATTTAGTTATGCCTGCCATAGCCTTATCAAATACTAGCACTGGCCATTGCAGGTGCTTCCTCTGACAATGGCTTTGAGCTGTTTAGTGTATCTGATGATGATCATTCCTACCTGGAGCCATGGTGAAATGCATTCCCCAGTCACTGCTTTATTTACTCCTGGGGTAATTTGCTAAAGGTGTTCAATGGGTAGAACATCTTTCTCTTCTCTTGAAATTAGAAATTATGTGAAATACATATGAGTTAATATATTTTTAGCTTTAAATCCATTTGCCTTGACTTTCTAGAGATGTAATCAGGGTTGGAGAAGAATGTTTCCAGGTGAGCCTGATTGAGTTCAGGTAGTTGTGACAGATGCAGTTCATTTGGGAGTGGGAGGGAGAATGGCGAAGGGAGGATAAAAGGCTTTGGAAGCCACTCTGGAGTCCTTTCCGTCGGGGAACTTTCTAGTCTTCTGCCTCTGTGACTGTCTATTTTTTTTTTTCCCCCATCTTATTATGCCATCACCCATTCCTCTTAACTGTTTTTTTTCTTTTGAGTTTTCCCCATCTGTGAATCTGCGACCCTGTAGCAGCCCCTTAGTTATCCCTGGCAAAGACACAAAAAACTTCTTAGGGGGCACCCCTTCGTTCAGGGCTCGCCGCTTGCCTCCCCGCCTCTCCTGGTGCTCCATTGACTGGGATCAGCTCTGCCTCCTCCAGCCCCTAGGCTCTGGGGGCTTCGGCTCCGTCTACAAAGCCACCTACCACGGTGCAACTGTGGCTGTGAAGCAGGTGAAGAAGAGCAGCAAAAACCGGCTGGCATCGCGCCAGAGCTTCTGGGGCGAGCTGAACGTGGCCCGGCTACAGCACAGCAACGTGGTACGTGTGGTGGCTGCCAGCACGTGTGCCCCGGCCAGCCAGAACAGCCTGGGCACCATCATTATGGAGTATGTGGGCAACATCACCCTCCACCATGTGATTTACGGCACTGGTGACGTGTGGAGACAGGGCGAGGATGATGAAGGAGGATGTGGAAGGGAGGCCCTGAGCATGGAAGAGACTGTGTGCTATTCTTGTGACATTATGGCTGGCTTAGCCTTTCTGCACTCACAGAGCATCGTGCACTTGGACCTGAAGCCTGCAAACGTCTTCATCACCGAGCAGGGAGTGTGCAAGATTGGAGACTTCGGGTGCTCCCAGAAACTGGAAGAGGGCTTCTCCCAGAGCCCCCACGTGTGCCAGCAAGGGGGCACGTACACCCACCGTGCCCCTGAGCTCCTCAAAGGGGAGAGGGTCACTGCCAAAGCAGACATCTACTCCTTTGCCATCACCCTCTGGCAAATTGTCATGCGAGAGCAGCCCTACCTGGGTGAGCGGCAGTATGTGCTCTATGCTGTGGTGGCCTATAACTTGCGTCCTTCGCTGGCTGCTGCCGTTTTCCACGAGTCACCAGTGGGCCAGAGACTCCAGAGCATTATTAGCTGCTGCTGGAAGGCTAATGCAGAGGAGCGCCTGAGCGCAGCCCAGCTGCTTCCCAGCCTCAGGGCCCTCCAGGGGAGCCTCTAGGAAAACTCAGGGAAAACTCTTACCGTTTCTTTTATTGTCGACTCTTCTTTCCCTCTGCCTTTCCTCTGAAAGCAATGAATTTAGCCCCTGCGTGATCTAAAGGCTTTGTTGCTGTTTTTTATACTTGAAAAAAAACAAACTGCTTTGTTATAAGAAGATTATAAATAAAGAGCTTTAACAAAACTGTGGGGTTTTACCGTGGGAGGAGATAGAGGCAGGGATCAAGAAGTTGGCAAATGTGACTTTTTCTGGTTGATCTGTTGTGTGTTGCCTTGTACACAACATGTGATGGGCAGAAAAACTGTTGTTTTCAAGTAAGTGAAGTACAAAAAAGGGCTGCTTTTGGAAGGTTCTTTGTACATAATACCTTTTGGTATTTCCAAAATGTCAGATAGGAGTAGTTCTTTACACTAGCTAGGCTTGTGCATTTGAGCTTTTTCCTCTTCATTTATCAAGGAATGAGTATGCATCACAAATCAGTGAATGAAGAAAAATAAATACAGGCTGTCAGTAGGGCCTTTTATGGTTCTTAGAGGTACCTAATTTCAGTAAGTATGCTGTTTCTGAAATGAAGAATGTGAACTAACCAATCTCCCCATTGAAATAAGGAACCTTTCTGTCAATCTAAGGCTATGAAGAGTAAGAAGATATATTAACAGCCTGTGCTTTCAGAAGACCTCCACGCTACCAGATGTGTTAGTTGCAACTTACTAGTTGGTATATTGTAAACTTTAGTATCTGAGGTCTTAGAAGAGCATCTCGTGTGGAACAAGAAGTTCCCAAGTGTTGGAGGTACAGGGGAGCTTGGGGGGAAAAAAAAAAAATATGGGGAAAATGTAAAGAGGGATCTAGAGATATAAAAACCTCATAAATCGGGGGTGGGGTGGGGTGGGAATTACTTGCCCTTTGAAATGCATGGGTCAATATTAGAGAAGATAGTGGAAGTACTGAAAAGGAAGACTGCTTAAAGCTATAATAATGGTACTCTGCCAGTACGAAAAGCACCCACTACTGAACTATCCTCTCCACTGCTCATGTCTTATCTACTGTCTTTCCTAACGTGGTTGTAATGTGTCTGGGAAAGGAAATGCTGTAGGCAGGGCTGGAGACAAAGGACTCTGATCCCTGATTTATCAGAACTGGTAATCTGTCAAGATCTCAACCCTTATCAAAGATCCAACTGCTGTAGCTGTCATTGCCATTCTGCTCAAAGACTGCACTTCTTTTTAAGACAGGAGAAAGCGTGGTGCTTTGGTCAAACTGTTTTACTTCTTTCCCCTTCCTCCCCCTTGCTTCCATTCTGGAAAAAAAATCCAAAGGAGTTGAGCCAGTTTCCTGATTTCTGACACACATCTGTTCTTAGCCCCGTGAAATCCTGGAAATGAGCAACTATGTGAATTTGAGATGATTCTGTAGGTCTTAATGGTATTTAGGTTGGTCATTGAAATTAATGGTTTATAAAGCATATCTAAGATTAACTATTTCTTGCTCTTCTGTCCCCCTTACATAGAACTGTAAAATGCTGGCTGGAATCAAAAAAAAACTAAGGTAAATTCTGGAATAGATTTCCTGTGTTTTCTCTGTCAAAATAATTATGATATAGAACCAGAACTTATGGGGGTTTTTGTGTTGCATAACTTATTTTAATAACGTTTGTGGGATATTTCTTGTTTATCATAAGCCTTTTAATCATAACCTTTTATCATAAACCTTTTAAATTTATTAGCTGAAGGCACATAAGATAAAATGTCAGATAAAGCATGCCTCACCCTTAACATCAAGCCTTACATAAAAGTTTTTCTCCACTCTTCAAAATAATATGATAAAAAATGGGATTAGAGTATTTTAGTAGTTCCTAGATGCTTATGTGTTGTAGTTATTTTTCTGATCAAGGTGGCTTGTTCCTTAAACTGCTAGAAACTTGATATTTTGTGCTTCATGATACTTCAGCATCAGTAAGTGCTACTTGAGTCTCTGTGAAAAATCAAGCACCCTTCAAATTCTCTGTTATACTTGACAGAAGAATACTGGATGGCCAAGACCTACTCTTCAAGAGTAAGCAGCTCTGCAGATGTCTCTGTCAATTTTACTAGATTCTTTTTGGAGAGGGAGCGAGAACTCTGCACAGCACTTGGGATGTAGGCACATCATGATCTCTGCTGTTTGTAGCTAGCCCTTGCACTCAGTGTCCTAAATAACTCCTCCATCAGCAAACTTGTTTATCTTATAGCTCACCTTCTTACACTTCATTGATGGAAGTGCTGAGCAGCACAGAACCCTGTGAAATACTGGTGGGCACTTTCTCTAGTTGAGAGAATTGACACTTTACTTTTACCATCTGCTCCTATCTTTTGACTGACCAAGCTCAGGATTTTTCTCTCCTAAACAGGGCTGCTTAGTACCTTTAAAAAAGTTTACAGTGAAGGACTTTTTGGGTTTCCAAAAGTATTTGAAAAAAAAAAAAAAAGAGAACACATCAGCCAGCTTCTTATCTGCATGCTGTTGGCACTCCTAAAGGATTCCAATACAATTCACCACACTTGTAAAGCACAACTTCTTCCAATCAAGGCAGTATCGACTCCTCCTAAACAAATCGTATCTATGTGCCTTTATATATAGTATCTGCTTTATAATATAGTATCTGCTAATGTATCTTGTACAGATGTTAATCATGTAACTAGGAAAGTTATTTCTTAAAGACCTCTGTGGGATATGGTCCTAGAGAGAAGCCCAGAACACCTGGTTGATTTTCAAGGATTGCCTCCTCCAAGCTCAAGATTGGTTCACCCCAATGAGCTGAAAATCCAGCAAATGTGTCAGGATGCTTCCAAGGATAAGCAAGGAGCTCCTGATTAAACTCAAACATAAAAAATAAACTTGCAAGATTTGAGAGACCAATGGGAAATCTGGAGCAAGGAAGAATTACCATTGGTAGAGAAGGATCAGACTAGGGAATGTTCAAACAAACAAGAATACGCAAGTTCATGGGACCTGGTGGTTTGCATGCACGAATGCTGACAGAGCTTGCTGATGTCACTGTGATGCCATTCTCGATTATCTTTGGAAGGTTATGTTGGTCAGGAGAGATTACTGAGGACTGGAAGAAAGCAAATCTAACTCCTATCTGCAAGATGGCCAAAAAGGAGGATTTGGAAAACTACAAGCCCATCAACCTCACCTAAATACCTGGGAAAGTGGTAGAATAAATAATTCTGGAAACCATTGCCGAACATATGAAAGACAAAAAGGTGACTGGGAGTAGTCAGCATGGATTTATGAAGAGGAAATCATGCTTGACCAACCTGGTAGCCTTTTGCAATGAGGTTACTGGCTGCTGGATGAGAGGAGAGCAGTGCTTGTTGCTTATCTTGACCTTAGTGAGGCTTTTGGCCTTTACATCCTTATTAATGTTTCCCATTACATCCTTACAGAGAAACTGATGAAGTACAGGCTAGGTGGTGAAAACTGAAAACTAGCTGAGATGCTGGGCTCAAAGGGTTGTGGTGGGTGGCATGAAGTCCAGCGGGAGACCAGTCATGAGCGGTGTATCCCAGAGATCGATACTGGGCCCAGTACAGGTTAACATCTCCATCAGTGGTCTGGATGATGGGGCAGAGCGCACCCTCAGCAACTTTGCAGATGATACAGAAGTGAATGGAGTGGTCAGTACGTCAGATGGTTGTGCCGGTATTCAGAGGGGCCTTACCAAGCCGGAGAAATCTGTTGATGGGAATCAATGCAGTTAATTGCAAAGGCTGGCACCTGGGGGAGGATAACCCCAGGCACCAGTACAGGCTGGGGGCTGACCAGCTGGAAACCAGCTTTGCAGGAAAGGACCTGGAGCTTCTGGCAGATGTGGAGTTGAACATGAGACAGCTATGTGCCCTTGCGGCAACGACGGCCAACAGCATCTGGGGGTGCACTGCGAAGGGTGCTGCCAGCTCTTCCAGAGCATGGCCAGAAGAGATTATTCCCTTCTGCTCACTCAGCCCTGGTGGGACACATCGGGAGCGCTGTGGTCAGCTCGGGACTGCTGGAACAAGAAAGTCATGGGTGTACGGGACCAGGAGTACAGAGAAGGGCCGCTAAGCTGCTTTGGGATTGGAACATCTGCATGTGAGGAGGGGCTGAGAGATGAGACTGTTGAGCCTGGAAAGAGAAGGCTGAAGCGGCATCTTACCAGTTTCTGTAAGTACCGATGGGAGGCAGTAAAGATGGAGCCAGTCTCTTCTCAGCGGTGCCCAGTGACAGGACAAGATGCAATGGACACAAAACGAAAGACAGGAAACCCCATTTAAATGCAAGAGAAAACATTTTTACTGTGAGGGTGGCCAAACACTGGAACAGGTTGCCCAGAGACGTTGGGGAGTCTTTATCCCGGGAGATATTTAGAATCCAGCCAGACACAGTACTGAGCAAGCTGCTGTAGTTGACGGGGTTAGACTAGACAATCTCCAGAGGTCCCTTCCAACCACAAAAGTTCTGCAATTATGATAACATTTATAGATGCTTGAATTTCAGACAGCCTCTGAGTTCTCCTACATAAACGTTTCTAGCACGAGACTATTAGGTGTTTCCTCTGGGACAAGACACCCGCAAGGAACATGTGATTCTTTGTGCTAGCTTTGTTGTCTTGGGGGGGACCGGGTTTCAATGATTAGGGGTTTTTTGGTTTGCTTTTTCTTTTGAAAAGCTGACATCAGTAGATCTACCAGAGGGGCTTGACAAATTTCTTGTTCTTGACATTCTGAAATTTATAGATTACGGGGTTTATGTTAGTTCCTTGAAGATTTTTTTTCATTTACTTTTATATTTAATTCACCATAGTTTTATCCTTTCCCTTTTCCTCATCTGGACACGGCTTCATCTTTTTAAAAGATGACTTCTTCCTCCTAAAGCTGGCATAAAAGCTAATGAGTGTAGCTGCACGTTGCTCTTTGTCACACTTGCATGCCTCCATATAAATGTTGGCAGAAGGCACATGATACTAGCAGGGCAGTTGCAGACAATTGTGTTACAACTCTTAATGGGATTCTGTCCATCCAGATTTTTACCTAAGTTTTTCTAGAAGCTGCTTTTGTTCTTTACCCCTCCTTCCCCATGCATATGCATGCAGCACAGTTCCAGATGGTTAGCAAGACACGGTTATAAGTCAGGATGAACCTTAAGGGCTACTCATACCTAGTTTATTTATTCTCTTCATTCCTGGAACTGATCACTAGCAGCTTGATCAGCCTAAACAGAAGGTTTATTGAGGGCCTGGAGAAAGTGCTCCAACCAGGTAATTGTAGTTTACCAACATCTTGCTATGCTTTCTGAGCATGAAATGCTTGTGAAGACAGTGCTGAGGATCCTCTGTATGGCTGCCCCGATCATCCAGGCAACCAAACATAAAAAGGGACATCGCTTTTTCTTTCTACGGGCCAAATGCCTTGGCAGGGTGTATATATAAAAGCATAATGAGTTTGAAAGGCTGCTAGCATCCATATCCTGGTCAGCTCTGGAGGGTCTAGCAAATTTAGAAGTACAGGATCCACTATTGCAGAGATTCAGATGATGCAGCAGCAGCGTAAGCGTGAGCAGAGTAGCATTGTAGTATGTCCTTGGGCTGTGCCCCCCCGGCCGCTACCAGCCAGGTGTGCTCTGTGCAGGGCACGAGTTACCTGATGTTAAGAACATGCTGGACCTCCTCAAATAAGAGGGATGATGCAGCTCTCTGGAAGGAACAAAGCCTCATTTGTCCCAGCTTGTAAATGTCAGATCGCTCTTGTCTTACCATCAGCCAACTTCCACAGCTTGATATAATTATTTTCCTTGGAAACTAATCTATTCTTGTGTTTAGTTTTTTTTTTGTTTGTTTTGCTTTGTTTTTTTTTTTTAATAGCAGCAACTTAAGTTGCCATTTCTGGGACCCTGAGATGCCGCGTCACAGTGGCCATTTTCTCAAGGTGAGCTGTCTTTTTTGGTTTTCTCTGTTCATAAGTAGCACAAGCTAACTTTCAAACTTCCAGCTCTGCAGCACTGAGAGCTAACTATTGAAAACGGGGTGAATTAGCTCCTGCCTCATAGCATGGAAACTTCAGCTGGTCCTCACCAATCTCCCAGAACCTAACTACCATATCTGGCTGCATTAATTCATTTCAGAAAGTACATATAAAGAAGATACTGTAAAGTGCCTGCTTGCTTATGTCAACGGCAATAGCTCTGGATATATTAACCATATTAGAGTGTTACATTTTGTGCCTTCTTGGTTACACAGATAGCATTGTCTACTAAGGAAAAGCATGAATTCAATTTTCTGGCCTTTTTATCTTTTTTTTTTTTTTTTTTTTTTAATAACTAACGGCATCCACCACTCCCAACCTCCCCCATGTGTTCCCTCTTTTCCCTCAAATGAGCACATGTGCAAAACTTGACAGGGTGCAGTTAATAAAGACATTTTATGTAAATTTATCTAATTCAAACTGAATCCCCAAATAAGAACCAATACTAGTTAGTGCTGAAATGGATTTAGCTAAAAATTAATTTTTTTCCTGCTTTTCTTCACACTGAAAAGCAACTTCCACATGCTGTCTTGAGTTCTGTGAAGTGAAACAATTAATTTAGCAGTCAAGTGATTATAAGACAGACAAGGAAAGATGGCTAGAAGCATGGGAAGTATGCAATTGTAATAAACTTTCTCGGAAAAATGAGAAAGAAGAAAAAGCATGTAACTGTAATTTTATCATTCTATATTACTCTCTACTTACTACAGTTGTTACTGAAGGTTTAGTGTCTTTGCTCCCAAACAGAAATATCAACAGACGTTTCATAACCAGTTTTAAAAAAAGCAACCATAGGGTGCAGTTCTGATTATACTCTCTTTATTTGTGAGTGGGATGGGCAGGAATATTACAGTTAAGCATATTTGATAATTAAGCAGGGAATGGTTATCTGTTTCTCTTTGACATAGCTTCTGGCTTCCCATCACCCAGGAGCCTCTGTAACCCTGCTCGTGGCTTGTTCTGTTCTTTGCTTTTCTCTTCCTTGGAGGCTTCTTCTGTGCTCACTCCATGTTCTCTCTCTCTCTCCTCTTTTTTTTTTTTTTTTTTTTGTATCATGCTTTATCTCAACCCAGAAAGAAAGAGGTAACAACACTATTTTCAAATGATAAAAATACTAAGTAACTTGGAGGTGCGTGCATCCTTAATACAGAAGGTAGAACGGGAAGCGTGAAGACCTAAGTGTGAAGATGTATAGGTTGCTTCATATATCTGCAACAAAGCAAACAAAAAGAAATGTTTTAGAGAATATACCACAAATTTTTAAATTCAGTGGGACTTAACAGGATGCTTATTATTTGATTTGTATACCAATTTTTGCATCATTTGCATCTGTGTTTATAAATTCATCCACTAGAACAAAGATGAAAGTGGGATAAAACGTTGTTATTTTAAAATTAACTACAATTTGAACATTTTACTTATAGTTTATTTTAGCCACTTATCTGCTGCAAATACCTTAATGCAGTGCTCAAAGCACCTCTTTCTATGCTTCAGTTAACCCAGCTGCCAAATATTTGTCTGCCTGTCAAATGAAAAGCCTCAGAACCAGTTAAAGAAGGAAAGTGGAACAAAAAAAAAAAAGCCTACTGGCATCTATCCCAGTCTGCCATCAGCTAAGGATGCAATGGGACAATTTGATAGCAGCGGCACCATCCACCCCTGGACTTTTCTGAGCACGAGGCTGAGTTTCATTCTCTACCCAGCCTGAAGTTCAATAGCCCGAGTGTTCAGCAGAGCAGGGAGGTGATTGCATTTGCCTTTGCAGGGCACCTGGGATAATAGGGTAATTCATAACTTAATAAATATTCTACTGCATATGTGCCAGGCTACAAAGAGCAAAGTCGGCTGCAAATTGGAAACATAAATGTCCAGCCCTTTTTAAGTTACTCCCCCCAAAAGGGTGGAAGGAAAACCAGCTTTATTTTCAAGCCACGTCTTTTTCGCAACCGCTTACTTCAAAAATGGTGAAAGGGTTTTGATTCTGATATGGCACGAGCGATTCTGGCCCCAGAGACAAGTATAGAAAGTTGCACCTGAACAGAGACAGTAAAAAAGCTGACTGTAAATATGGGAACTGATAGGCAGGGGAGGCTGGGTTGTTTTTTGTTTTGTTTTTTTTTTTTTTTTTTTTTTAATAGTAGTTAATAGGATATATTATATAATACAGTACATTTAGAGAGATATCCTATACTTTAGCCACATCCTTGTTTCTCTCTTAACTAACAGTTCCATTAAAATGGTTTGCAGATAACACAAAAGCCACACACAAAGCTTTTGAAGGAATGTGTCATTGCACTGACATGCCAGTAGATGAATGTCACCCAAATTTCTCTTTGTACAGAAAGTGACAGAACTTCTCCAGACCTCCCTTAGCGTTGTCAATTCTTGTATATCTTTTGGGAGTGAAATGATTGCTATTAGATGTTTTCTAATTTAAAGGGGAGAAAAAATCTATTCTTAAAATTTAATTAATCACTCCTGTCAACAGCTGATTTTCAGAGGAAATAAATGTCCTTAAATTCTCTTAAAACATCTTCACACCTGCATAGTTCATTTAAAAAATTGTGTATTGAATTGCAAACGGCATTTGAAAATGTTTCCTAACCATAAAAATTAGCACTGCTTGACCAATCATAGCGAGGGTAGTGTGAAAGCACCGTTTGCACAGGGGGATGAGGGAGGTGGCTGGAGGAAGCAACGAGACGAGCCAGAAACAGAGAGGTGAGACAGCCCCAAAAATGAACTTATTTGTTAGAAGCCTTTCAATCAGCGCAGCTCTCACTGAAAAATAATTTATGCTGGCACGTGAATTTCGGTGTTGTACGCTCGAGCTACCTGCCCACCGGACTGTCAGGACCCTATATGACTTAAACTAAGGGTCTTGAACAAGTGCTTAAAATTAGACAAGGGCACTGCTTCAGCTCAGAGCAGTCACCCACTACTACCAGGTCCTAATAGTCTCTTGTTTAGTTAAAAGAAGCATAGCCTTCCCTTCATTCCCCAGCCCATCAAAATGAAAAACTGGCTAATTTTAAACGCTCTGCAAACCATTACCAGCCCCCAAAATGGTCTGCAAAATTTTTTCTTTCTTTTCTTGATGCACTGTGTGCTAATTATGATGATTATCAGTTAGTGCTATACTTTAATAACACAAATGTTTTAACAATGTGTATTAGTACACAAGTAATGGTGGATTCTTCATTAGAAAATAAATTTGTTTTATATACAGAAGATTTTAAGAGTAGAAAGTTCAGTTTTCTAAATCAAAAATGGTGGTTTCAGCTCAGAGGACAACTCACTACCCACTTCTCCCCCCAGCACTAAGGAGAAAATAAGCAAAGGCTCAGGATTTGAGATAAACACAGGGATGGATGTCTCACTCATTACAGTCACAGGCAAGAAACAGACTCGTTAGGGGAATTAGAATATAAAGTTGATACAGACACTAAGAACACCACCATTTAACAGACAGAGTAGGACAGTGAGAAGCATTGCCACATCTGGAAAAACACTTCCCCCCCCCCCCCCCCCCCCCCCGCCTCCCTTCTTCCCAGGCTCAGCTCTGCTCCCGATATCTCTACCTCCTCCCCCAGGGGTGCAGGGACAGGGAATGGGGGGCGCAGGCAGCGCTGCTGCTTCTGCCATCCTTACAGGGTGTGGAACTTTTGGATCTTCTTCCCCCTACTCCAGTGCAGTCCCCCTCTCACAGGAGACAGTCACCCACAAACTTTCTGCGACACAAGTCCCTCCCACGGCTGCAGCCCTTCCCGAGTGGCTCTGGCGTGGGACACCCCCGCATGCTGCAATCCTCCCAGCGCTGAACTACAGCAGCGGGGGCTGCTTCTTCCTGCAGGGTTCCAGCCTCCTTCAGGCATAGTCACTTGAGATGGCATGCCAGTGTCTGCTCCACCATAGACCTCCATGGGTGGCAGGGGGGGGCCGCCCTGCTGTCTCCCCACAGGATACAGGGGGGGCTCTGCTCCAGCACACCTCCCCCCCATTCCTCCTCTGTTACTCCACTGATCTTGGTGTTCACATAGCTGTTGCAACTCCTCCTCTCAGGTCCCTTCTTAAATACGTTATTGCAGAGATGTAGCCAACTTGGAGCTGAGAAAGCTTCAAGAAGCTTCTCACAGGTGCCACCTATGTATCTCCCTCCCCTGCTCCCAAAAACCCCACCTCTCACTCAAACTCAGGACAGGTGTGTTGGGTTTCTTCAGGAAAGAGGAGAATCAGTCCCTAGGTATTAGCATAAGCGTTTGTGCCTGCCAGAACAAAGTGATTGGCTCTACTTCACACCAAGAACATTTCACAAGAGTGTAGGAGAAACATTTCTTTCTCTGAACATGCAAGGGACACTTGAAAAAGAAGTATACCTGCTGCAAGGTGCTGTTGATAGAATGAAGTACCTGCTGGGTGCTCTCAGAAACGTCTTCCAACAGTCACAATTATTGAAAGATTATTTTGTAATAGACGTATTTTTTACTTAAAACATGAGATCATAATGCTGAAAAAATTACAAGTATTAGTATTTCTGAAATTTTTCTCAGGCGACATGGCTACCATACTCAAAACCACCTTCTATGTAGTATACCACAATAATTAATTGCCTAACAATTGACTGCTTGACTATCAACCCTCTTAAGTGTCAATACTATCTCTTCCTCAGTTTTTAAACCAGTAGACAATACTGCTCCCCTTGATCTGCGCCTGGAAAATCCGTTGCTAGAGTTTTTACTGTGCACGGAGGTAGGAATGTTGGAAGTGCAATCATGTGCATCTACATAGAGTTGCTCTTACAACACTGAAGCGATTGTTGCAGGGGAAAAAGACTTTTCTACTTTATATTATTTCCTGCGAGGCCAACCAAACTATATTCCATATTTGTAACAATGATGTTTTATTGACTGGTGTGGAAGGGCATGTACAAGCCTTGTTTTCATTACAAGTGAAGTAGGACCTTCTGCTGTACATTTAGGTGAAAGACAAGTTTAACAGACTTGCTGTACTCTCCTGTAAGTTGTTCTCTTAAACAGAACTGCTGGGTCTTCTATGAAATGACATTACAGACTCTACGGTTGTTGTTCCTGCCCCGTTCCCGCAACCTCATAATTTCTAGGTAGTGAGCTGCAGCTGCCGCTTTGCCACATTAGCTTTTTAGAGAATTTAGCAAGCCCTTTGAAACCAAAACTTCTTAATATTTAATGCCTCTTGGATCACTTTCATGTTATGTTGTGGATCCTCCCAGCTGTTCTGAAAACTCACAGTGTAATGATTTCCTCAGTGGCTAATAATTCCTGTTTCTAAAGCTCATCTTTAACACCACAATATCTCCTTTAGTTCCAGGTCCTAAATTTTATGTTATTATTCCTGTTTCTGTCAGGTTTTGAGTAATTTAACTTGGCTAGCTCACAGAGGGTCAGGTCACAACAGGAGCAGCATTATTGAATTGGCTTTAGTCTTTCTTTACAGATGCCAGGTTTGGGAAGGGCATCTCTTCACAAGTCCCACAGAAGTCAATCTGACACCTGGATGTAATCTAGATAAAATTCTGAGATGCAACTAATATCCTGCTCTAACAGCCCTGTACCATCAAGATGGTGATTCTCCCTTGTTTTAAACCTCCTCAGCATCTATGGCAAGCATTTGCTAGATTTCGTGCTTGCAAATGCTCATCATCTGAAAACTAGTTGGATCAAGAATACGGCAAAGAGGAAACTAATCTTAAAGGGATGAAGAAAATCTTCTCAGGAAAAAAAAAAACAACATGATGCAGTGATGCATTCTATACCAGGAGAAGTCTTTCCTCTAGTTGTAAGGCAGTGTGAGGTCAGAATCATTCCTTAAATTATCCCTGCTCTGTGATGGAGAGACAGCACAAGCACCGTGAAACCATTCCCTCCTACTCTGTCTCGCCAAAGAATTAGATTAGATTAAACTGGTCTTTAGAAGAAAAAAAATGTGATCAATGACTTCATGACCGGGCTCTAAAACAGTAGGCAGAGGGTCACGGGCAAAAAATATATGTGGACTACATATATTGGTAAACATAATTGCTGTAAAATTAATCAGTGTTGTCTTCCTCAAGGACAGACATCCAACCATGCAAACACTCTGCTGCTGGTAGCTTCCCACAAAGTCTTTGCAAGAAGCAGACACAAGGAGGAAAGACAACTCCAGAACCTTTATTAGCACAGTATTGCGAGTGT